TTAAAATGCCAGCTAATAATGCAAGTTATTATTGATAGTTTAACAGGTAAAATTTGGCATCTAAGATCTAGTGTAGGATTTTGATTTTCATTTTAAATTTCACCAGGCACTGGACTTTGGATTTACCATGCCCGAATTATCTTGTGCTCATGGTGCTGAAAAAACTATCAAAAAAGCTATTTCCCATTGACTAATATAAAGAACATTCCAACATCTATAAAATTACTAAGAAAGGGGGTAAACAAACAATATGAATAGAATAATAGAACAAAAGCAACGGTAATTTAAAAAAATGTAACACCTCTAAAACAAAATTGGGGAGAGAAGAAATGAGCCAGATTTCAGGAGGGATAGAGTCCCACATGTAGATGCCAGCACAACAAGAACTTCACTGCTTACTGAGTTCAGATGCAATGGCAGAACTCTTTAAGCAGGAGGAGGAATTGAGTGCAAAAATCCTTCAGATAAGGTTCAAGGAGGAGGTCTTGAATACAGCCAATGCTAGTTCCACTTTCTAAACCAATAAGGGTAATATAAACTGATTTCACCTTTAGTATGCAACCAATGCACAGAACGCAAAGCGAGCCGAATATGGTCACAGTAGCTCAAATCACTGAGGAATTGTGCAACTGTATTCTGACCAAGTAGAAGATAAGTCATGCTGATAAAGCTAGCTTAGAGGAAATTACAAATGTCTGATCCATACAAATTGGAAGAAGAAATATTTTCACATGGCCAGCCTAAAAAAAAATTATGTTTTTGCTCTCCAACTTTTACACTTGCCTTTTAAAAAAAACCTTACCCATCTTTTCTTAAGTCTAGGAAAAGCAGACACTATCAATATTTCTCCTAAAAAATACTGTGGCTCTCAAATATTTATTTCAACTGGGATCCTCAGCATGGGAAGAGTCTATAATATTGAGACGTGAATGCCAGCAACTTCAGTGTCTCTGTGATAGAGAAGTCAAATGGATAATTTGTAGAAATTTTAAGGCCGCAATCCTGCCAATGTATAATGTATTTGTTTAATTTAAAACATTTCAATCATCTCACTGAAGTGAATGAGACAACTCATGATTTAACTCAAATGATGGTACATTGTAGCAGGATCAGGACCTTTAGTTTGAAGATCATTATTCAGTATAATTCCAATAGTCTGGCATTCATATGCTTATTGAACAGATACTTAAGTAATTAATTAATATAATTTCTGTATCCTTTTGAGACAAGACAAGCCACTAGCACTTGAGATTAATTTATTGTCAGTCCTTCCAATTTGTGTATGAAATTAACATTTTCAAGTTAATTCTTTCACATTTATCTGCAACTATTTAATCTTCTGAGAACTGCATATTCCATAACCACCATGCCCTTCAAAAATTATTCATTCTATTTCTTAGAACTTTGAGAAATCAAGATATGATTAATCTTAAAAATCAGAGATAAAAGCCACTAAATAACAATTAATAATAACATGCTTTTTTAATAAATCTCATCGATGTAGTACATTTAGCAAAGAGAGCAACAAAAAGTAAGAAAAAGCTATATCAATTTTTACCCAATGACATTTCTGAAATCAACATTAGTCAAGAACACAGTTATGCAGAGTTATTTTGGACTACATTCCCTGGGCTTTTCATGGGACTGAGAGAGGAACCAGACACGATGTCCTACACTCATTGGTATTTATGTGCCATTATCCATAAAAACAGTGCCTCTAAGAATTAATACTTCAAGGAATTGTATTGAAACTGTAGGTGTGCATGTGCATGTATTTTAACACATTATACCCTGAACCAACTATTCCTGATCACACCATTTTTACATTTATTAAAGTGAAGGAATACAAAATACTGGCTAGTGACAGGCATAGCATGGACAAGCACAGTATAAAGTTCTCTGCCAATTAATTTCAGGCCTAATTTTCAACTTACCCACTCCTCCTATTTTAGATGTCTCCTCAATAGTATCTCCTTAACATTATTCAGGGAATGTCAACAAATGTCTGCTACTTATTCAGGCTTAACCACCAAACTTACTTCCATTTGTTGATAAAGCTAGAATATCCGCCAACACATTAGAAAACTGATTTGCATTTAGATACCATACATTATAATTCTATACTGTATATTACACCACAACACCCACAAAACCTCTTACAATAGCCAGACACTTTTATATTAACTTATCATTGCCTGATTTGAGGACTTCACAAATATTTATAAATTACAAAGTATCATTGTGGATTTATAGCTAAACCCCAAGGCAAAAGAAGTCTTGCAGAGGAATTTGAATTGAAATACAACAAACTTGACAGGTTTTAATTTTACACTGAATCTTAATTACACATGGAACCATAAACATGTATATTAGATAAACATGTTGCAACAGCACATGTGATTTAAAATCCTATGACTCAGATCAATATTAGAAAGATACCCCAAACTCAATTAACATTTTCCATATCCTCAAGATCATCAAATTTTTAAAATAGGAAGGCACGTTTTTTAGGTATTCATTAATATATATTTACGTATAATAATATTCTTATGAGAATTATGCTACACATGTTTTTATTGAACCCAAGCACAAAGGTAGCAAAACACTAATGTTCTTTCATGTCTTTCAAAGAAAACTTTATCATCATCATCAATCATTCTCACACAGGATGACATCAGCACAATGTAAAGAACAGCATTACATGATTGGTACTTACCTAGTTGGGTCTCCTGAATCGTCAGTTTACTTTCCAAAGGGTGCAAAAGCTTTGGTGGTTTATCTGTAAGTGGTGCTAGAGGGGAGAAATCATATGTATATAATTATTCTGGATATTATACATTATACAATATTGTTTGACATTTGCATACGTCATCTAATATGCCACCCTTTATTTAATTAAAATGTACACAGATTATGTACATGCATTCAGATGTTATGATGTGTATATTGTTTTCTAGCTGTAAGATAAATACATCACTTATAAATAGCATTTTTCATACTCAAGGTACTATTTAGATCTTGTCAAGGATTTTTGCACATAAGTTTTTTTTTTTACCAAAAATATGTATCTGTCAAACTTTCCACAACATAACAAACATTTTTTGTTTTTTCAGAAAAAAATCTGACAAGTTTATAGATGTTTAATATTTATTTTAATAAAAATTGTGTATGAGAACATATTTGTGTACTGAAACCACAATTTTTAGTAATCAAAGGTGTTTGTTAATGATTTCCAACACAATTTGGACAAAAATATCAATTAGAATATTAGTAAAAGGATTAATGACACTTTTGAGAAAAGTCAGAAAACAAGTCAAGTTTTGAAATCTGGGAAATTGAAATAGTTTATAAGTATCAAGATTTTCCACAAACATATTCTTCCATTTTTAGTCTTCCTTAATACTAGAGCAGTTAGACATATATTTAGGCATTTTCAATCTACACAATAAGGTCTGATTCTGTAAGTTACCACAAACCACCTCCAAATTGCTGTCTGAGAGCACTGATGGTTTTTGACAGCTGGTAAAAAGGAGCTTATCAAATTGTAGGTTCGACCCCTAACGTATTATCTTTATGTACATTATTTTCTTTTAAAAAAGCAAAGCTCAAACGTCAAATCATGCAGACATATTGGCACTCTTATCTTATTCATCTACCGACTTAATTGACCGAGTCCACATTAATTATTGTTATTGTAAATAAGTCTTGCTTTTACTGATCTCTGACCGAAACACAGGAACATTTTTTTCTTCAATACCAGCAATATATGTCCATAAGAAAACCTTTCACTTTTTTATAGACACTCACACATTTTGAGTTGCTTTACTTTTTAATGACTACTGATTTTAGATTCTTTAATAGATAGTGTGGTCTATCATTGATTTGAAGCATATTTGACATGAGTTTATAATCTTTGTTCCATCCAGGTTGTCAGAATCACTACTCCTCACCCTGCATCGAGTTGGCACTATACACACAGATATGTGTTTGTCCTACTGAGTCTCCTCACTTTCCGTGAACTGAATGATGGTAGAAGTATTTTAGATAATCAGTTAGCTACTTTGCCTTCATTATGCTTTTTTGTGATCTCTGACTCAAATACCCATGTACCCTGAAATCCATCATAACAATTTTTCAACTCTGCAGCAAGCACAGAATTGATTGTTTAAGAGGGGCTGAACTTAAAAAGTTTCCTCTCTACAGATTCTCCCTCTCCTCCACTTCTCTGTCAGGGGCCAGGCTGGTTAGATATCTGGAATGCTGACCCAGTCATCACTGTTTAGGCATTGGGTCAAGTCTTTATGTCTAAAAAACATCAAAAGAGCTACAGCTGATTCACAAAATCTTGGTAGATCCTTCCAACAACAGTTCTTTTACCTTTGTGCAAATGCATTTTGCACTTACTGGGTTAAACCTCTTAGGCAGCCCACAGTTTTTGAAAGGCTTTACTTTACTGGAACGTATATTACTTTAGAATGTGTTGAATCTGAATTCATTTATTCTCTCTTTGTCTCTCTTTCTGTCTCATTCTCTGGAAGGAGGTCAAGTGAGTGGGAGGAGAAAGAAGTTAAGTTTCTGGGATATGACTTTTCTTAAGTACTTATATTGGTTTAAACTGCAAAGTTAGTCATTCACCTTTGTTAACTGCTCTTTAAAGACTTATAAGTCTGTCATTTAAATGTAGCTATGCCATAGTTTATGGAAATTATCAAATCAATGCTTACTTACCAGTACCTATTTTGAGGTTCTCAATCTCTTTTAATAGTCTCCAAAGCAAAGTTCTTTCATTGCTACACTATACACTTCATTGGTATAACCACTTTTCTTGAGTGTGTGAAAAACGTGTATCTGAATGTCAAGTTAAATTGACCTAATCCCTGGGTGAGACAGCACTAGTTTGAGGGCAGCATTCTCCTTCTCACCTAGCTACCACCTCTTAGAGAGTGGAGTACCTACAGTGACAGAAGCAGTCCTCCCAATGGCATATGTAATGTCTTCACTGAAATGCTACAATGGCACCACTGCAGTGCTTTAAGTGTAGATGAGATCATAGTAACTGGTAGAGATAATCTGAGTAAGAAAGGCACCCAAGTTACACAGCAACAGATCCACATTTCAGTTTTCTTTACATTACTTCCCTGAGGCATTGGAACTAAGGTAGCAGGAGCTAAGGTAGCAGTTTTCTGTAAATATCCATAACTACAGAAGATCACTTTAGTGCAGCAGGGATTAGGGATGTTAATCTCATAAAGCCCTGTCATTATGCCCAGGGACATTTATCTGAAGCATCAGACTTGCTTATAGCAGCTCTAGGATTATCAGAGAAGATGCAGCTTCAGTAAGTATGTTTTAATATTTATTTAATTTGTATATAATAAATTGGTCATTGCAACTACAAGTATAACAAAGAGGATAACTATGCTGAATGGCCATTTAAGAAGATACATTCTGTGGGCAGTCAAGTTTACATCCATCATTTAATGGGGTAACCACAATGCATCCACCGTAGGGCCTCAATTTTGGGCCAAGTTCCCATTTCTTTATGCTGCTAAGAATGAAAATTCCTCATGGAAGCCTATACTCAGGCCTACCAACAGGGAGGGGGGAGGGGGGAAAGGCAGCGACTTCCCTGGGTCTGGCAATTCAAAAGGGCCTGGGGCTCCTGGCTGCCATCGCCACTACTGCAGCAGAGCGCGCTCAGGCCCTTTAAATCCTTGAGTTTAAAAAGCTCTATAATGGAGCTATGCATATCTTACAAGTTACATTTTATGTGGCTTCAGACCAGCAATACCTGGGGCCATCTAGGGAAAACTCTTTGGGATGTATTCTTAACTGGGAGGATAGACTATTTCAAAAGCCAAAACATTTAACAAGTTCTACTCTACAGAATTTTCAGGCAGGTAAACTGAGGGGGAGGTGTCAAATAATTACCATAGTGTCCCAGTAGAATCTACATAAGTCCTGGCTCCTAGTCCTCTAACCGTACAACATTTTCTTCTACATATTCTTCAAAAACAAGAGAAATTGACAGAGCCTATATTTTAACTGGTTTCTTTAGCAGATTAAACACCTTATTTTCCTATTAATAAAGTTTGCTCCCAAACAATATCTAAGTTTTGCAACATACCACTAAATCTTAACACACAAAGCATTTTTGCAGTATTTGTATTATTTAATCAGTTTTACAAATAAAATCTTTTTTCCCTCCCTTTATTTTTCATAGATATTTCAAAGAGTGACAAAAATGTCATGGGAGATTACACAAATTAATAACTTTTAGCAATAGCTGTTAACATAACAAAATGCTTTCAGTTACAGTTAAAATAGAACATACACCAGGAATTTTACTGGGAGAGCCCTTTTCTACATATTTTGCACTGGTATTACAAAGTTTGTTGTGCTATGGTAAAAAAAATCAGTGCCCAAACAGGACTCCACAGTTGTCAACCATTATCAACATGCTATAGTCCATAGCCCCTTCAAACATCTCAAGGAGAGAATTCAGATTCCTCCTTCCCAGAACCTCAGAATATCCCTACCAACTGAACTAATAAAAAATCTTCATTATCTGCGTTCCTTATAGGCTGATTATACACAACTGAACTATTCTAAAGCAGCAGAGGGCTGTTGTACTCATTCATATGTAGTTCTAATTCAAGCTATTCAGAATCTCTCAAGTTTTCTCCCAGCTCAGCTTCTCACTTTGCCAGGTCTCATGAGGCAGGCTCATTCATCATTTGTTCATGACTTCGCAATCCATTTTTGGGGTAATGACTCTAGTGTTACATTAGAATTTCACTGTAGGACTGAATAGGAGGAGGAAGGAAAGGAATCCCCTGAGCATAAGGGGAAGTATTCCCACACTGAATTATAAGGTAATGCATCTCTCCCCTCTTCTTGAAGCCCTCATCTTCCTCTCTATGTCCTCTCTATGTCGCTAAAGTAGACAGGATATGACCTTACCCACACAGGCAGAGGATCTCATGTTCCTCAAACATATTTCCTACTTTCCAGACAGACTTATCAATGTAGAGTTCCTGCTCAACAGGCAGTATTCCATGCCCTCTGCTGTTTCCTGGGATGACGGCAGAGATCTAGGAGCATGGAAAGAATGGGGCAAAGGACATCAAACAAGATAGGAGAAGAATGTTTTGTTCAATAGAGGGGACACAATGGATGCAGACTCCAGATGCAGTCACTCCTCCTTAGTATAATTAATGCTAGAGAGATTAGGCCAAGTTGACTGCTCTAAGAAGTGATTATTCTGTAGGCATGAAATGCCTCAGGATTTACAACTACACTAATGGTTATATACCTTTCATAAGTAGCAAGCATTGTAAAGAAAAATAAGAGAAACTGTAACAGGTAAATATCTGAAAGTTATCTGTTTAAAAATGTGAATAGTGTGAAAGTATGTTATGCACGTTGTATAGGTCTCACTACAGATAAGTCATCACTTACCAGAAGTCATTATACATGACAAAAGCCAAGATATCACAGTTTAGTGGACTGTAGAAGACAGCTACTAGCACTTCATTTTGTGCTTTATCTGTTAGGACAGGGATCCATAAACAGTGAAGATCATATTCTTCAAAGTTATCTGTGAGTCAGAAACAACCTGTACTATTTTTGACAGAGCACCATTCCTCCCTTTTTGCCCACTCATTCATTACTAAATATTATTATTTAAATATTCTGATTGTTTGAAACATCCCACCAGTTTCAGTTATAGCATCTAGGTCAAATTTATGCTCATAAATGAGCAATTCTAATTCATATTCCTCTTATTGG